CCCTGCCTGTGGCCGTGGGCCTCGGGCCGTGGAATGTGCTTTCTCAGCCTCCGAGCGGGGCCCCGGGCCCCGAGGCCAGGGAGGCCCCAGGTTTGGGTCTAAAGGGCCTTCTCATGTGACAGGTGGCCGGCCGAGACGTGGTTCTCCCTGAGGAAGTTTCCCCCTGAACCCCACGCGGGGGCGGGGGCGGGGCCGACACCGGGGTGGACAGCAGGGCACCGAGGGCTTGAAGTAACACATAGTCAAGGAGTGAGTTCTACACACCCCGATGGACACCTTCCACCCAGGAGGGTGGGCGCACCTGCCAGGGAGGCTCAGTGGGGGGCGCAGGCCTGCTGCCCAGAAGGACCCACACCCCAGAGCCCAGACAGGGAGCCACTGGCCTCACAGCCTCAGCCTCACCCCCGAGAAGCCAGGAGGCGCCCCGAGTCTCCCTCCAACCCTCTCCCCTTCCCAAAGGGCTGGCTCTCTAGTTTCCCAGCCCAGACACCCAGTTGCCCAGCTTCAGACCCATTTTACAGATGAGGTTAGTGCGGCCGGAGGGGGGACCCAGGTCCCAAGAGGAGCTGCCAGCCACTGGCCACCTGGAGGGACCTGAAGGAGCAGAATTTCCCCCCAGGACTCAGGTGGGGAGCACAGGGAACTCCTACGTGCCCTTCCTGCACCGCCCCCTCAGTGCTGCCCTGGAGGGCACCCCGGCCGGCCCAGCCTGGGGAAGAGGGGGGCTCGCTCAGGCTCCCAGCGAGAGTCAGCCCCAGCCCCCTGTCCCTCCTGAAACCAGGGAGGCGTGGCCTTGCAGCAGCCCCAGAGGGACCCTCCCAGAGAAACACTCCATCGACACCATGAAAGGGGGGTGCCCTCCCCGATTTACCGGCAACATGCCCAGGGTCCGTGCAGGCTGAGGGGACCCAACCCCACCTGCCAAGCGCCCAGCCCCCACCAAGGTGCCTCCGTGAAGGAAGCCTCTTCCCCCCGACTGTTTCCTGTGATGCCGGGGGCCCCAGACACCCGCCGGCGCAGACGAGACCCTCGGCCGCACGGCC